AGAAATAGGCGGGGTGGTGGTACCTACCTGTGCGGACTCATAAGACGTCCTACCATCAGTTTTTCCATTCAGGCCTATCATACGTCATCTCTGTCCATCCAAGTCTTCTGAGAACGCGTCCCGGTAGTATATACAGGAGATAGAATAGTATATAGTATCGAAGAGTACATTGGAAATTGGCACGTACACTCGGTACGTAAAGTCGAGAGTAAGTTAAACATGTCCGAAGTACATAACTGCGTTTTGACATTAACATGTAGATCTCTATCGATGTGTGGAATAAAATAAATTCATATACAAAAAAATCGATTGTCTATGTAGGTTCCCTGTAGACGCTGTAACTATAGACGATTTCGATGAAATTTTCAAGGAATCTTCAGGTTGCTAAAAAATGATTTTGTGAGATTTGGTGGCGAATCAAAGAAAATTGAAGATCGGCAGAATTCACCGAACTCTGATCAACAGTTGACTACTAGATTTATATAGACTATTTATCCTTACTATATTAAATAAAAGTATATATATTTGTATCATATATTATTATTTATGGTAAGTATAAGTATCTATATGTATTGTTTTGTATCTTGTAATTTATACTAATATATAAATCTATAGTGGTTTTTACGGATGTTCCGTTATAACTACTGAACCGTGCATCCGATTGACTTGAAACTTGGTATCCATGTAGAAAATACACGTATATAATGGATATGCTAATATTTATATTAGTGTTGGACTCCGTAATAATAATGACAATAAATAATAATGTTAATTTTAAATGCCCAGCGAAGCGGGCGAGTACGGCTAGTATGTATATATTATTATATGTAATGCTTACTGTATGCACTAGGTTTGTGTTCCTTCTCCTTTCCTTCTGCGGGCCTACTGGAAGAGATTTCAACATGAAATATGTGCCCTTGTACCCTGTATCCTTATTGTCGTGTTTCTTCTAACAGCTGTGTGTACAAAATATATTAAATAAATAAATAAAATAAATATATTAATAAGATTAATAATTAGAATATCATAAGAGATCAGCTAGGTAACGTAGCCAGTATCTAGGGAACTGTGCCTCCTTCAAGCGCATTGGAAGATCAGTTCTACTGTGTGAGTTGATTTATGTTAAATTATTTTGATTTGTTATAGAACTTTCTAATAAATAAAAAATAAATAAATAGATTTAGATACTAAGCTTTTAAATAAACACTCTATAAGTTCTAAGTAAGAATCTTTGAACGTTATTTTGACAGACTTGAAGATGTTCGATCATTATGAAAATTTTCACACGCATCTAATACATGACGATGACAATACAATAATTTTATAACTTCGCTCTAATATCCTGGCTGGTATCAAGAGGATGAACATTGAAATCAATTGTGGACTTTAATATTTAAGTGTGTTTTTTTTTTGTTAAACTACACTAGTGGTTCCCCAATAATCGAAATTCGATTATAATTAATTGAAATTATAAGTTTGAACATTATTATGGTTCTAAATTATCTTAGACTACTATACTTCTAAAATTCGCTTTCGCCAAGACTACACTATAGACAAATAATAATGAAGGCAAACAATATTAATCTGTTCCCAATTTGAACGCAAGCTTTAGGCAATAACAAAGGTTTGACAATAAACAAAGAGTATATGAATTTTTAATGCATATTAAAAAAAAAAAATAGTATTATGCACTCCTTCTACTATATTCTCTATAAGTGTGGGAAGTTTCATACTCCTCCGTCCTCCGTATTTACGTTGTAGATGTCTATTGACTCCAGTAACCACTTAACACCAGGTGGGCTGTGAGCTCATCCACCCATCTAAGCAATAAAAAATAAAAATCTTGCCTTGTCGGATCCCCCAGATTTACTCTCGGTGCTTTTAGGTACCTCAAGCATCGGTCATCGTTCTCGTCCAAGCCGTCGCTTGCGATGAAGAGTTTGATAAGTGAACTAACCCATAGACACGGCTCACTGAGCTTCTGGCCGGATCTTCACAGTGGGTCGCGATTCCGACTCGGTGGTAGACTCTGCGAAGCACTCACTGCTCTTGCTAGGGCCAGTGTTAGCATCACTCCGGTTTGAGCCCCGTGAGCTCACCTACTAGTTAAGGTTACGCTGAAATAGCCTCTCAAGGCTATCAGCTTAGGTAGGAAAAAAAAAATAACTGGTCTTGCTAGTGTTAGCAAATTCTCTCAGGTTGAGCCCGTGAGCTCGCCTACACATTCGGGCGTAGCTTGAATAGCCCCTTATGCTACCAGCGAATAGGTAGAAAAAAAAATAATAGACGCCTAGCCAGCTTATAGCGGTCCTAACAGTGAATTTTTCACAGCCGTGGACAAAATGTCAAAGCTAAACAAGGATAAGAAAGGAAAGGATAATTTTCATAGCTCGGTTTTAGCTTTTATATTTGCAATCCTAATATATTTACGAAAAATTGAGGAGAGACGAATGAGAAAATAATTTTGCAATCAATTACAAACAGTTTCGACGGTGGTTTTAAATTTTATGAATGAAGATATTGAAGGAATGTGCCCGACTAGACAAAAGTTCTGCTATTCGATAACAGATGGCAGGACCATCATTATTTTGTTTAGTATAAAAAACGAAAACAAAACAATATTGTGAATGTGATAATATCTTTTTCTTTCAATTTACCTTTATACAAAATTATAACGTCAAATATTTTATACTTAAAAAGTTTGGAAATTTAAGTTCGAAATTATACTAAGAGATGGCGTTACACTTTCGCGTATTTTATCGTTTTCATAATTGCGTAATAGATGTCGACACTCGCTTCCAAAAAGCAGTTTTGGTTAAGGTTTAAATTAGTTAAGTTCGTAACCTGTTAAGACATGTAATCTTATTTGGTCGTGAAATTAAGATCTATGTTTTTTTTCCCTACCTATGCTGATAGTGATAGTCTTGAGTTGAGAGGCTATTTCAGCTTCTCCTTGACGTTTTTATTTTTTATTTATTGCCCTTGTAGGCAGACGAGCATACGGCCCACCTGATGGTGAGTGGTTACCGCCGCCCATGGACTTCAGCAATGCCAGGGGCAGAGCCAACCCGCTGCCTACAAACGCTGCCTACGTGTAATTGACTTTTCAGAAATTCTGGAAAAGTTAAAAATACAGCAGATATGTTCCGGTGTACTATTGGCAATATATTATTATAGAAAATGTATATACATACTAAATCAATAGTATGGAAATGATAGAGCATATATGTACAAACAGCTTAGCCCTTGCCAAGACGTGACGAATATTCAACCCACTTAGTTTCTCGCCGCATCTTCTCAATGGGTCGCGTTTCCAATCTGGTGGGAGATTCTGCGAAGCACGGCTCTTGCTAGGGTTTGTAGCAAGTTCGTGGGCTTCGTACATCGTCAGGTTTGAGCCCTGTGAGCTCACCTACTAGTTAAGGTTACGCTGAAATGGTTTCTCTAGAATACTCTAGACCATCAACTTAGGAAGGAAAAAAGAACGGACATTGCACTGGGCCCAGCCTTCAGAATGGAAGAAGAACTCGTCCAAGAAGCAGAAGATTATCTATGGCTCCCTATTAAATACCCCTTTACTTATAACTCAACACACCGACTTCTACTGTACAAACAAAACTATTTTTACGGTTTAAAACTTCTTTTATATTATATATTATCTATATATTAATACGTGAAGCAAAAACTTTGTATCCCTTTTTACGAAAATTGTGCGGACGGAGGAGTATGAAATTTTCCACACTTATAGAGAATATAGAAAAGAAGTGCACAATGCCAATATTTTTTTATAATAATGCATAAAAGATACATTAAATCAATAAAGAAAACGTTACACACACTACATACCATGTATTTGACGCACACACGCATGCTTATTATTTATTGTCCAACTTTTGCTCTTGACATCTGTGGTCAAATTGAGAATAGATTAAATATTGTTTGTTTTTGTTAAAAAAAATTTTGTGTAGTCTAGGCGAAATCTGTGATTATAGAAGTATAAAATACAATCATAATAGTGTACAAACTTACAATTCCAATTAATTATAGTCGAATTTCGACTACTGCGGGACCTCTAGTTATTATTATTATGTACAAAGTTTTTATTCACGAATTTATATGAATTTTGGTAAATACTAAAAACCACGGGCCCAAGTCAGGTGGTGTTCATTTTCAGTTTTAATTTCGCCTGGTGTTCCGTACTACAAAAACTTCCGAACAATCCGGCGCGTGTTTAAAATTGTGGCTTTTTATTATATCGAGCGTTTGGAGTAATGTTTGCGAAAATCGACTCGCAAAAAGCAATAGAATTAAAATCAAGAAAACGACTACTTTATTATTATTGGAATTTCTTTGTTACATTTTTTGTTTTTGTGGAGTAAAACTACAGATTTGTACGCACAGCGTTCTACAAAGTCGAAATCAGCCGATTGTCTCTTACTAGAAATCGATGTGCAACATTTATCGCCGGGTACTGTACAAGTGTTTTGGAGAAGCAGTGCAAGGACAGAACCAGGTAGCTGTTTACTTAAAGTGACATTATACTAGCTGTAATAGTACTTTTAAATGTGACATACACTACCACCACAAAGATAGGTGGTAATTTAGTGATAAAATGGTCGGGTTTTGACGATCAGTAAAATTAGTTGATTATTTACGGGGATGTCGAATGCCATCATTATATCCCAGTTGTTAGTTTAACAAATAGTTTGTTTTGATTGCAAGCGTGACGAATCTCAGACGAATGATAATTTAAGATCGTTGACGCATTCCAACTGTGACGCATTACGTTAGAAACATGAATTTCAATTATACTAATCGATTTAAAGAAAATAATAATAATAATAATAATCACCATACGATGTGAGTACAATCTGTAAATCGATTACACGCTTAATTTCATCGCTTAATTTTTATATTCGATTTATAAAACGTTGAAGTCGTAAAAGCGCTACGTACGCTCCGAACACGCCGGTTGCTCGTGTCGTGTCGCTTGTTGAGGAATGGCTTGTGTTAGTGTTTTTTGCTTCGTATACGCTTTCGTTTCGTCTGCTCTCGCATCGGCCGTTGATTTGGAAAGTATGTTTGCCTAAAACGTGTTTTTATGGTACATCTATTTATTAGTAATTTATTATTTATCTTTATATATAATATTTCTTTTGTGCGTGTGTTTGTCACTGAACTCCTCCAAAACGGCTGCACTGATTTGAATGATTTTTTTGTGTGCGTTTGGGTGGCACCCTTGATGATTTAGATTCACAAATCAGCCCGGCAGATGACGCTGCAGTCGGTTATCTAGGTTATCTAGGTTATTTATATTTCCTAGAAATAATTTATATAGTAAAAGTAGTAGTAGTAGTTAAGTATATATTAGTTATTTATTAGTATTAAGACTACTGGATTTACGCGAATAAGAGTTTTTTTTGAGAATAACATACATCGTATAAAAATGAATTATTTGTATATTAAATTAACTTTGTAGGGTTGTTACTCTAATGTTTTTCGGTATTGCGAACAATGGTTTAGTTGTGCAATGAAGGCATGCGAAATTCGTTTAGACCAAATCTACATCAGACGTCATTGAATTCTGTGTTGAGATGTTTGGAAAAGAGCGATTTTTTCGTTACCTATTGATACTTTAATACAAACTGCATTCCTATTCGCTGATAAGGCCACGTCTGTACAATGGATTTTTGATAGCACCGTTTTTATTAAAGCTAAAACTCATACAACTTTACGAGACCTAACTTACTTTATAGTAAACGTATAATTATTTTTTTCATTCTCTATTAGAGCCATACACCTATTAGGTTAAGTCGGCTATTATATAACAAAACAAAATAAAAATAAACATATTTAAACACAGTGAAACAATAAACAAAAACACTTAAAATAACTATATCGCTTAATTTACATCTTTCAAGAAAGAACAAACTAAAAAACTCATAACTCTATTACTGTAATCACATTTTTTTTTTACGGCCTATATGTGTGGACGAGCTCACAGCCCACCTGGTGTTAAGTGGTTACTGGAGCCCATAGACATCTACAACGTAAATGCGTCACCCACTTTGAGATATAAGTTCTAAGGTCTCAATATAGTTAACGGCTGCCCCACCTTTCAAACCGAAACGCATTACTACTTCACGGCAGAAATAGGCAGGGTCGTGGTACCTACCCATGCGGACTCCCAAGAGGTCCTACCACCAGTAATTACGCAAATTATAATTTTGTGGGTTTGATTTTTATTACACGATCTTATTCCTTCACCGTGGAAGTCAATCGTAAACAGTTGTTGAGTACGTATTTCAGTAGAAAAATTGGTACCTGCCTGAGATTCGAACACCGGTGCATCGCTCAACACGAATGCACCGGACGTCTTATCCTTTAGGCCACGACGACTTCAAAGACTAGACATGTGTCTATTACATATAATTTTGTGTTACAGACTACGATTTAATTATAATCCCATGGCAGCCCAACCCGAGACCAAGTCTAAGAGCTTTGGAGAAGTCCTTAGAGGACAGATTTGCGAAAAGCTTCGGTGAGGCCATTTCGAATGCCGATTATCACACGAATCACAAGAGGCTGGACGTGGAAGCTTTCCGGCCGTCGCCTGTCCCCCCAGAAATAGACGAATACGAGACGAGCACAGTAAATCCGGAAAGAGACGAATATGATTATGGTAGTTTTTCGGGTGAAAGGATCGTCGGTGGTACGCAAGTCGATATCAACTTATATCCCTACCATGTCGCGTACGGCGATAACTGCGCAGGCGCTATAATCGATAAGAAATGGGTAATCACTGCAGCGCATTGTAAGTGAGTATGTACGTTATCATTTACTTACAAACAAATTGCTTCAACGTTGTTTTTTTTGGATTACTGGTGGCCCAGAGGCATTTCCAGTTTCACCAGGACAGGTGGGCGAGCATGGGCTCAGCCAGGTGGGGTGGGATGTGCTAACAGCTGCCCGAGCGCCTCCGAAAGAGACCTAACAACTCAAGAGCAACTGTTTCGCGAATGAATCTACTACCGGATCGGAATCGCGACCCGCTGAGAAGATCCGGCGATAAACTCAGCGGGCTGATGCATGGGTTAGGTTGCACGTCGAGATCTTTGCCGAGTTTGACGAGTACGGTTACCGGGGTCCTGCCTGTTTCTAGTGTTAGAGTTGAAGGCATCTAATGCAAGGGCTATTGGATAGCGTCGACGGTGAGCTACAACGTATCTAAAGTCAAAACTATTATGCATTCACTTGGAAAACATACTTATTGTTGTTAAAAGAGATATTGTTTTTACCAGCTTAGTTTTTGTGTTATGCTCGAAGAACCAAGAATCAAATATGCAAATAAATAGACTATTTACCTTTAGACAAACAATAAATTTGTTACTTCCCCAATTATTTTATCAAGTACTTCAGAGTGAAATTTCTTGCATAGCAACATGCGATTTGGTGTTACCGTTTCCTTAACTTCTGATTTTACTAAAATAATTATCAAAGGCCTTTCGTGATACCAAAAAAAATAACGTCTCACTAAAATTTCATTCTCAGCAAAAAGTCGACATTCATTAAGGCCGGCTCTAAGCACATACACAAAGGGAAGAAAGTGAAGATCAAGGAGCATTACATACATCCGCTCTGGGGTGCCAAAAATAAGGAGCATCCGTTCGATTACGACTTCCAATTGCTGGAGCTGGCTGAGCCTCTGAGCTTCGACGACAATATTCAGTCTTTGAAAATAGCGCATATAGAAGATATGGTGGTCGGGAAGATTATAACGGTCACCGGTTGGGGCAACATAGAAGAAAACGTGAGTTTACCAGATAAAGTTCCAAGGTATCTTAATGTAGCCACCACCCTGAACGCTGAATGTGTTAAGAACATAACCATACTCAACGTTAAAAGCTTTGGATAAGAGTTATTCGAAGAAATACACTTTGCACCATGCGGGAATTGAAAAGGAGTTAATAGAGAACTAGGAATAGAGAGAACTAGGAACTTTAAGGATTGGCTGTGTTCCTGGCATTGTTGACGCCCATGGGTGATGGTAACCACTCAGCATCAGCTGGGCCATATGCTCGTCTGCCTACAAGGTCAATAAAAAAGACAAAGACAAATTCAGTTAAATAATAAAGTTTTGATTTAATATTAAATGGTAACGTGGCCAAGTGGAGGTTAAATCAGTGAAGGAAAAATCTCTGCGCATAGAGGGATTAAGTCATGCCTTAGATGAATGGACCAGCTCACAGCCCACCTGGTGTTAAGTGGTTACTGAAGCCCATAGACATCTACAACGTAAATGCGCCACTCACCTTGAGATATAAGTTCGAAGGCCTCAAGTATAGTCACAACGACTGCCCCACCTTTCAAACCGAAACGCATTACTGCTTCACGGCAGAAATAGGCAGGGTGGTGATATGTACCCGCTCGGACTCACAGTAAACAGTACGCAAATTATAATTTTGCGGGTTTGATTTTTATTACATGATGTTATTCCTTCATTGTGGAAGTCAATAGTGAATATTTGTTGAGTACGTATTTAATTAGAAAAATTGGTACCCGCCTGAGATTCGAACACCGTTGCATCGCTAGATACGATTGCACCGAACGTCATATCCTTTAGACGACTTAAAAAAAATATTAAAATATTACAGATTTACTAAAAAAAAAGTTTTACAGTTACTTACAGTTTTACTAAAAGGTTAAAAAAATACACTATTCTCTTACTTTATAGTCCTAAATTTAAGCAGCACTGGCCTGCTGTAGTGATTTTGTTATTAATAATACCGAAAGCATTGTAATGATTACACTCATGAAACAAATACAATTAAAGCTTTAAATGTTTTCAGGGCCCCTACTCGAACGTGCTCCGAGCCGTAAGGATTCCTATAATATCCAAATCAATCTGCCAGAGTGTTCCATTTCCGTATTTCAGAGGAACTTTGTCATCTCGAATGTTCTGCGCTGGGTTTGCTGAAGAAAAGAAAGATGCTTGTCAGGTATGTCTTTGGCAATGTTAATCAGGATATTCTGTGCATGTTTGTCCTGGTTATTGATTGGTTTTATTATAGCAACGCTATAGGAAAAGCCAGTGCGGCTGCTGCGTGCTTTCCTCAAAGTTCGTTTGAAGAAGGACATGTCGTACGGCTCTGGAAGCTTCGTGGGTGGTAATTTCAAAGCCATTTATTTCCACATTATACGGTCCCTTAATTTATTACAACTGAATAGATAATGGCACCTGCAGTGTCGACTCACAAGAGTCCTATCAGTAGTGTAATTAGGCAAATTCTATTTATTGCGGTCTTAATTTTTATTAGGTGTATTACTACTAGGTACTACACGATTAGGTTCTACACGATTTTATTCTTTCATCTTTTCACCATTTATTTCGTAAGCATCTGCTATGAGCTACATCGAGCTTCCCTTTAGCTCCCTTATTAAGTCAAAAGCCCGGATTTTTGGTCATAAACTAAGGAAAGACGTAATTGTAGAAATAATTAATATCTTTCCAGGGCGACTCAGGCGGACCAGCGGTTTCAGACAATCGTCTTTTAGGCATGGTGTCCTTCGGCTATGGCTGCGCAACCCCAGGTTCTTATGGAGTGTACAGCAAAGTGGCGAAAGTCAGACCCTGGATAGAAGAAGTGACCGGCCTAAAATTAGATTAGTCTTGTATTTACATAGTTATTGTTGATTTTGTTTTTTAATCTTATTGAATAAAGTTTATATAACATTTTCAAATAGTTGTGGTTGTTTATTGTGAATTTTAGTACAGTGATATCATCTGTTTGTCACAAAAGATCGAATTATCGTATCGAATACCAATAATTTTCGCATATTTCCTGACTCTAAATAAGAAAGAACGTAAAATGGGCCGTGGCGTAATTCCTAAGACTTTTGGTTTAACCGTAACGAATGCTATGAATACATCGGGGTTTGAATGGCGGTCGAAAATGCGCCAATTTCGTCCAAGTACGTACCTGCCGTGTTCACGAACTAATTTCACGACGTAATTAAAATCACACGTGGATTATTTTTTTAATTGCACGGCCACGGGGAGTTAGCACCGCTCTGCCTATTTCTGGTGGTACGCAGTTTGGGCGTTCTGTTTTGGGGGGTCCAACACCCGATCTAGTTACAATTGGAACGTGGACCTGTTACAAGGGGATGGTGGTATTATTACCAGTGTAGACAGACGATGAGACGGATCCCTGGTAAGTGGTCAACCTTGCTTGTAGACATCCGCAAAGCTATGGCGGTACCCAAGCCGTTTTGTTGCAATCAAGTTGTGATGCATACCAGATCTTTCACTGCACATGCACGATCTTTTACTGGTGGTAGGTACTCTTGTGAGTCCGCGCGGGTAGGTACCACCACCCTGCCTATTTCTGCCGTGAAGCAGTAATGCGTTTCGGCTTGAAGGGTGAGGCAGCCGTTGTAACTATACTTGAGACCTTAGAACTTATATCTCAAGGTGTGTGGCGCATTCACGTTGTAGATGTCTATGGACTCCAGTAACCACTTAACACCAGGTGAGCTGCGAGGTCGTCCACCCATCAGATCAATAAAATAATAAAAAAGCGAAAAATAGCTTTCTAAATACCCTGTGTGTTTAAATTATTTCCTGTAGTTTCATATTAAACCGATTACAATTTTTTATTATGCCGTATCAATTAATTTTCCTGCTTTATGTTTAATGAGGCAACGAGCGATACAAATCGATTTTAATGCGGCTTAATTTACATTTCACTGTTAATAAAAACATCGTGGACTATTATCATGCTTAGTCTTAGTTTTTTTTCGTCAACGCCCACGTAATTCCAGATCAGGGAGACCTCTTTCTTTTCCAATTGATGGGCACACAAGTCTTATCGATAGTACTTATCGAGTTCGTCTCAAATAATGTAACAGCTGTGGCTAAATAAATATTTTTTTCGTACCTAATCGTCGGTAGCTTGAGGTGCAATTTCAATTATGTGCGATCTAGTAGCTAGCTCACTGGCTCGATCTAAGGCAGCTAACACTAGTCATATCAAGGCCAGTGTTTCGATGAATCTACCAACAGAGCGGAACCGAAGCCCACTCAGAAAATAACTAGTCGTCGTGGCCTAAAGGATAAGACGTCCGGTGCATTCGTATGTAGCGATGCACCGGTGTTCGAATCCCGCTGGCAGGTACCAATTTTACTAATGAAACACGTACTTAAGAAATGTTCACGATTAACTTCCACGGTGAAGGAATAATATCGTGTAATAAAAATCAAATCCGTCAAATTATAATTTTGGTAATTACTAGGTACCACCACCCTGCCTATTTTTGCCGTGAAGCAGTAATGCGTTTCGGTTTGAAGGGTGGGACAGCCTTTGTAGCCGATCTGTTGCCTCCTGTTGTTCCGGTAACGACCCATGTCAATAGCACCAAATAATCACAATGGACGATCTTATCTGTAATTCTTGTAGCACCAACAAGACAGCAACGCGGCAATATTAAATTAAGAGGAATTTCTATTGAATTCAACACGCACACAAGACAAAGACAATATAGCCGTTGGCTTCTGTAGTTACTAGCATAAAACTAGTTGCATACAAAGGCCTGTTATCAAACATGTTCTTGAAGCTGCCTTGAAGCTTAATGGTTAGCACCGTTATGTTAATTAAAGTTATAAAATGAAGTTCGAAAGTTCGACATAATATCTCAAGATGGGTTTCAGTACTCACTTGGCGAAAGGTAGGCTTTTTTTACTGTCTACTTGGCTAGACGTGCTCAATTGCCACAGTTTGGTATGGAGTCACAAACATTATCATGTTTGGTCTTGTAAAGATCCAGCACACGGCTTTGGCGTACCGGTAACTTAGGTTTATAGACATTAAAATTATAAAATGAAGTATGGAAGTTCGACATCATATTATTATCTCAAGATGGGTTTCAGTACTCACTTGGCGAAAGGTAGGCTTTTTTATTGTCTACTTGGGTAGACGTGCTCAATTGCCACAGTTTGGTATGGAACCACAAACACTATCATGTTTGGTCTTTTAAGACTTCCAGCAGACGGCTTTGGCGTACCGGTAACTTAGGTTTATAGACATTAAAGTTATAAAATGAAGTATGAAAGTTCGACATCATATCTCAAGATGGGTTTCAGTACTCACTTGGCGAAAGGTAGGCTTTTTTATTGTCTACTTGGGCAGACGTGCTCAATTGCCACAGTTTGGTATGGAACCACGAACACTATCATGTTTGATCTTGAAAGTCTTCCAGCAAACGGCTTTGGCGTACCGGTAACTTAAGTTCATGGACATCATTAACGTAAATGCTGCTCTATATAGATTAGTATCTATTACATTCGTTGATATAATTCGTCGAATAGACCAGACCCACAGATAGCGCCCAATGAATTTATTTTTTATTTATAACTAAATAGCGACCCGCCCTCGCTTCGCTTCGGAAACTGTAATTTATTATTGATTTCTCCACTACTTAATGGATGTTATTATACATATAAACCTTCTTCTTTAATCACTCTATCTATTAAAAAAAACCGCATCAAAATCCGTTGCACAGTTTTAAAGATTTAAGCATACATAGGGACAGACAGATATAGGGACAGAGAAAGCGACTTTGTTTTATACTATGTAGTAATAATATTTTTTTTTTTTTCTACCTAAGCTGATAGCCTTGAGAGGCTATTTCAGCGTAACCGTGGCTAGTAGGTGAGCTCACGGGGCTCAAACCTGACGACGATGCTAACACGAACCCTAGCAAGAGCTGTGCTTCGCAGAATCTACCACAGGATCGGAAACGCGACCCACTGAGAAGATCCGGCGAGAAACTCAGTGGGCTGTGTCTGAGAGTTAATCTACTCGTCGAGCCCTTCGTCGCAAGCGACGGGTTCGACGAGAACGGTGACCGGTGCTTGAAGTATAAAATTAAAATATCATCCTACCAAATTTATCTTAAAAATTTAAATCTGTCCCATAACTATGGTTTGATGCATTATAAGTTTGTCCTTGAAATATCCAATCACAGCACACTTGACACGTCTCCCGCCACTCGTGCTTACCTCAAAATTTGGTGAAGTCGAATTGAAACAAATGTCGTATAATGTGGTATCTATTGGGGGTTATCTGTGACCAGACCCCTTAATTAACCTTTAGGAGCCAGGCACTTCGAAATATACCTAAATGAATTGCTGTTCGTTAGACTCGCTAAAACTCGAGAACGGCTGGACCGATTTGGCTAATTTTGGTCTTGAATTATACGTGGAAGTCCAGAGAAGGTTCAAAAGGTAGATAAATATGAAAATGCTCGGAATTAAATAAAAATAACAATTTTGTTTTTCCTTTGATGTGTCCCCCGTCGAACCGATTCCTTTTGTTTGTTTTAAGTTTATTTTATACAAAAGTTTAGGTCTTTTATTTATCGATTAAGGCAGTACGAAGTCTGCCGGGTCAGCTAGTATTCAATAAAAATATTCAATAAACTCTAAGTCTCCTACACAAAAAGCATCAACAATTATGCATTATAACAACATTGCGCGTCAATATTTGTCACATGTATTTCCGGATCAATAGATTACTTATTCACCCCAAAATGACCTGACGTGACGAGCTTTTGAATAAACTATACGTGTTAAGGCTCAGACCAGAGCTTTCCTAATACGAATGACGCTTACATATTTTGGCGTAGTTTTGGAGAGCTATAAAAACGTAGGGTAGTTATAGTATTTGTATGGGATGTTGCGAGGTAGTGGTCAGTCTGTCTATGCTTCCTGTGTAGCAATCATACAGTCCTCTGTCTAGGGTAGGAGGACCTATCTATATATTAATACGTGAAGCAAAAACTTTGTATCCCTTTTTACGAAAATTGCGCGGACGGAGGAGTATGAAATTTCCCACACTTATAGAGAATATAGAGAAGAAGTGCACAATGCTAATATTTTTTTTTAATAATGCATAAAAGATACATTAAATAAATAAAGAAATTACACACACTACATACCATGTATTTGACGCACACACGCATGCATACTATTTATTGTAAAACTTTTGTTCTTGACGTCTGTTGTCAAATTGAGAATAGATTAAATATTGTAATGTCTTTTTTAATATTTTTTATAATGTAGTCTTAGCGAAATTTGTGATTATAGAAGTATAAAATACAATCATAATAGTGTACAAACTTACAATTCCAATTAATTATAGTCGAATTTCGACTACCGCGGGACCACTAGTCTAGTTTAATCTGACAGGAAAAGTACTTAAATGTTGTTAGTTAAGAAAAAAATACGCCAAACATTAATTCAACCGTTTTAAAGGTTTATTTGTTAATACCTATGGACATTACTACAAATGCCCCTGTCTTTCTTAGGAATACCTGTGATTAAAGTAAAATAACAAATCTGTTCGATGCGGGAATGCACCACTTAATTGAACACTTTTTTTTTATTGCTCAGATGGGTGGTCCAACTCACAGCCCATCTGGTGTTAAGTGGTTGCTGGAGCCCATAGACATCTACGACGTAAATGCGCCACCCAAGTATAGTTACAACAGCAGCTCCACCCTTCAAACCGAAATTACTGCTTCACGGCGGAAATAGGCAGGGTGGTGGTACCTATCCGCGCGGACTCACAAGAGGTCCTACTACCAGTAATGAATATAGGCTGCTGCT